GAGAAAGGTCCCCCACCTGGCTAGGTCCCCATCAGCCAGGCCAGCTGCACGCCACTTGGGCTCCAGCCTGAACCACTGAACCTGGATCAGCCTTTCCTGTACCCCAACTACTGCTTCCCCTCCCCATCAGCCTACGAAATTATTCAAACAAGCCAATCGCAACCTTCTCCAGGAGCCAGGGGACACCTCACACTCTTGTCACCATAAAGCTGCCACCAATAGCTCCTTGGTTCACTCAGCTCCTGGTGTAGCTCCTGAGTGCAGTGCTCTCCTGGACCTGCTTGGTGTCCTGTGTCCTCCTCCTGTGGGCTGTGACTGCATGTGACGAATAAACTGTCCCCAATTGCATCTGTCATTGTCAGGTGTTGTGTGTTCAGCCATCTCTTACTATTTAGAGTAAAGGATCCTCCTTCGGCAAGAGAGTGAATAGGAGGTGGCCAGAACAGGTAACTTGATGAGATTGTGGACTCCAGTGCTAACAAACACACTAAATCCCCGTCCTTCTCGGCAGACGGTGGTGCTGGGCTTCCATTCACAAGGGGAGGTGGAGACCCTGACAGCAGGACAACTTGCCAGGAGGGGAGAGCATGTGGGGTCTTCTTGGGGTCTCAGGGTCAACAGTGTGCACCCACTCCTCTGACACACTCTTCACTGTTTCTCACTGTACTCCACTACTGCCCCATCAAGGTCTGTGGCAGATGTTCCAGCTATTTTCATGCAGTGAGAAGAAATGACTAGTCTAGGCTGGGCATGGTGGTTCACGCCTATAATCCTAGCACTCTGGGAGGCAGAGGTCAGGTCAGGAGTTCGAGACCAGCCTGAGCAAGAGCGAGACCCCATCTCTACTAAAAATAGAAAGAAATGAATTGGCCAACTAAAAATGTATAGAAAAAATTAGCCAGGCATGGTGGCACATGCCTGTAGTCCCAGCTACTCGGGAGGCTGAGGCAGGAGGATCGCCTGAGCCCAGGAGTTTGAGGTTGCTGTGAGCTAGGCTGACGCCATGGCACTCTAGCCCGGACAACAGAGTGAGAAGAAAGAAAGAAAGAAAGAAAGAAAAGAAAGAAAGAAAGAAAGAAAGAAAGAAAGAAAGAAAGAAAGAAAGAAAGAAAGAAAGAAAGAAAGAAAGAAAGAAAGAAAGAAAGAAAGAAAGAAAGGAAAGAAAGAGAGAAAGAAAGACAGACTAGTCCAAGATCAGACAGACATAGACAGGAGGGACAGGGCTGGCCCCCTCCCCATCAGTGCCATCCCTGCACCCCGCAAGCCTCTGGAAAAGCAGAGACACTGCCCCTTATGCCGACGTGACACCCTCCCCTGCTCACCAACTTCACTCTCAGTAAAATGGCTATAGGACACCTTCAGACCCCACTGTGAGGTCTGCACAATTCAGAGGGTGGCCTCGGTCATGAGATCCAGGTCTCCTGGAAGCTCCCCATGGGGAAGAGAGCACAGTTGGTTGCCTGTCCCAGCTCACTTGGACCTTGGCTCAGTCCCCACTGGGCCCCAGGGTCCAGCTGACAGGCAGTGAGGGCGTCAGGAGGCCTCCACGTGATTTCTTGCAGGGGGGAAGACCCTGAGCTTCTTGGCCCCAAGAGCAAACATTAGGACTATTTCTGTGTTGCTGTAGAGCCTCCTGTCCTTTGGGGGCTGGGGGCTGCTAGCTAGAGTCCTGAGCTGGTGGTCAGAGCTAGGTGGCTTTGGCCAGCCTGGAGCTGTTCCTCACACATGCTTCCTGTGGGCACAGTGAGTCCCTGGTTTCTGAACAGTGGGATCTGGGCTTCCATCTACAGGGAGAGGCTGAGGCGCTGGCAGGAGGAGAGCTTGGCTAGGAAGCAGAGAAGTTACCACTGAACCTGGATCAGCCTTTCCTGTACCCAAGGCACCCTGAGCCTCTCAGGAATTGAGGAATTTTAGTGAACAAAGGACCCATCTCTCCTGGCAAGTTCTGACTTCAGATGCTAATAAAATGTTGTTTACACATACTCAGAACAAGCTCTCAGGCTGCTAGAAGCCACCTCTGCTTCAACGAATCCCCATTATGCAGATGGAGAAATTGAGGCTTGTCTTAAGGACTTGCTTAAACCATGAGCACAGGCCTGAGGGAGAATTTGGTCCCCTGTGCTCGGACCATATTCTCCTTCAGCCCCAGCTGGGTCAGTCTAGCTCCCTGCTTAGTAGCTGACCAGGTGACTTCTGAGAACAAAAGCTCTCTGGCCCGTGATGTCTGCAGTCAGGCAAGGATAACTGCAGAGGTGAGGCCTGGGCTCTCCCTGCAGTTCAGTACAATGTCAAGTGCTAGCTTCCTGCAGGGCAGGGGGCTGCATCTTCTCTGGCTCTCCTCTCCAGGGTCCCTGCTGTGCACAACCAAAGGAGAAGACAGGCTTATATCCATAAGGCAAACTTCCTTGTACCTACCTGACCTTGGCCAGCTTTCCCCTGAGGCCACGGCCAGATGTTACCCAGCTGAGCACAGAGGAAGGTGAGGGAGTCAGGTGAGCTTGGAAAGGGGCCAGGCCGATCATGGCATCTTTGCACTCCCAGAGGACCAAATTTTGGCTGAAAGACCCAGGGGAAGCCACTGTCCTTTAGTAGGAGGCACATCTCTTTGCTCTTTGTGTGTTTTGCCCACACTGCCACCTCCTTAACCAGATCACACACAGCTCTTTTTTGTCATGAAAATTAATTCATTTAGAAGAACAGCCATTTCCAGATTCCCCTTGAGACCTCTGGAAACTCTGAGAATGTCAGAGGATCTGGGCTTAGGCTTCTACCCTGTCAGAAGGAAGTGCGACTGGACTGGGGTGGCTGTCCTCCTCCACTTGTCCCCAGCCCAGGTTTTTTTTTTTCTCTCCTCCCTCTGATAGCTCAGCAGCAGGCAGAACAATGGCTGCTTCAGAGAAAAGGCCATTTCCTGCTGACAGTGTGTATATGCCTCACCCCAGGTTCCAGAGCTTCTGCAAAGAGGCCCTCTCCTCCCCAAGCCCAGATCTCCTCTAGGGCTCTGGCCTCAGTAGGACAAAGACAACATGTGGGTCTGCCCCTGGGTCACATCTGACAAGGACAGTCTATTCTGTGCTGCTGGAGAGAGGAGAATGTCTAGAGAAGTGTCATCTGATTCCCAGGCGGAAAAGGGGTGCACCAGCTCCAGCTTGCCAGGGTCCTCTGAAACAGGGTGGGGCAGGGTGGAGAGAGGTGATTTCCCTCCACTTCCTCCACCCATCCCTGAATCAGCTCCTTTCTGCTCTTCCTGGAGAGCTGGGATGACAGCAAGAAGACACATTTCCAAGGCGGAGAAGGTGTCTGGAACAATATTCCATCAACATCTCTCATGTTTTATCAGCTAAAGGAGCCAAGTGTAGAGAGAGCCACAGGGAGAGTTGCTGTGTCCTGGCTTCCACTTGGGTTGGTGGCTGTCTCAGAAGTCTCTAAGTAGCCACAGTCCAGGGAGTATGGCCTGCATGAAGCCCTTTCACCATAAAAATCACTTTTGGGGGCCTCTTGGACAGTCCAGGGCACATTTCTGGTGACAATCTACATAGACATCATCCCATCCAGAGCCCCCAAGTCCATGACATTATCTGAACCCTCTCTGACTGACACCTGAGGTGGAGACTGTTGGATTCATCCCCACCCCTCTCCCCTGATGAGGCATCGATTTAGGGAAAGAGGAGGGAGGGGCTGTGGGAATGTCTAGAAGGGGATCTCAGGGGCCACCAGTTGCATTTCTATAGGAGAATCCAGAATAGCCTGGAATCCTAGGGCCTTCTAAAGGCCAGCTTGCCTTTTGGGCAAGGAATCTGGCTTTATTCACTTATTTCAGTGAACGAAAGTGGGAAAGGGGAGCCTGTGGCAGAGCCGTGGCAGTCTCTCTTCCGAGTCACTGCCCCTCCAAGGAAGCCAGGCCTGGATGTGGTGACGCCTGCCAGTCAGCCTCAGGGACTTCCCAGGCCACCCGACAGAGGTCAGGGATGGGGAGGCAAGGGCCCAATTTGTATGTGTTGAGGGCAGGGAGGAAGGTTTAGGATGGGGTTCTGGACCTAGTTGGAAGTTGTAAAAGCCGGGGCGGGGGCGTCCCAGTCGGGTGCTCAGCGCTGGCAAAGAAACAGGCCGCTCAGGGCCAGGCGTGGAGCTGTCCGGACTACGGTGCTGAAAAGGGAGAGCGGCGGTGCAGGGGGCGGAGAGCAGCGGCAGAGCTTGCGCTTGAGCCCCAGGTGAGAGGGGGGTGGACGGAAAGGGATTCCCCCCAGCCCCTCTTCTACTTACTCTCCAAGGAGGGAAGGGAACAAGCAAGTTGGGGGGACAAGGTGAGTTGAGCATTGAGAAGTAGACAGCTGCCTGAAGCTGCGGCCAGAGTGGGGAAAATGGGCCACGACCCGGCAGTGAGTAATCTGGGCCAGCTATAGGGTGTGAGCAGGGAAGAAACCCTGGACTTGGGCCTGTCCCTCGCTGGCCTCCTACACTCCGGGCAGTTACCATGGGTGCATGGCAAGGAGGAGTGCGCGAGGGGTTCCCACGCGTATGGCACAGTCATGCGTGCACAGCAGACTTCCATGGGTACATACACGCCCCATGGACACACGGGATACGCTCCCAGAACGGGCATACACCAGGCACAAGCAAGCAGTCCCGTACGCGCCCAGCACACGGGCTCTGGCTCCCACCAAGCTGCCCAGGCTCCCGCTGTAGCTTCGCATTCCCTGGTCTGGACGTCCCTTCCGCCTTGCTTTTCCCGGCCTCAGATGGCGCCCCTAAGGGAGGCACAGCCAGTGGGAAGCCCCAATTCTAACCTGAGACCGGGGAGGGTGCTGGAGAGGAGCAGACAGCCAGCTCCTACGCCCAGAAAGAGGGGGGCGAGACAGGCGGAGCGGGTAGGTCTCAGACACCCATTCTTCTTTCCCCAAAGTCCCAGTTACGGTGCCAGGACATGAGGGGAGTGTGAACGGGAGCGAGTGTGAGTGTCTCCCTCCCAAACTGGGGACACCCCGAGGACCAGCGCATACCTGTGCGTGGGAGGCCCCGCGTGGAGCCCCCTCAGCGAGTCCGGACCTGCTGGCTCCTCCGGCTCCCCCTGGATAAAGGTGGGGTGGGAGTGAGGGTTACCCCGCCTGCCCTCCACACGCCTCCCGGATGTCCGTAGGCAACGGAGAAACTCCGTCCCGGGCGGCGGGAAGTTGCCCGGGTTCGGGCGCTGGGAGGGTGCGCCCTCCGGTCCCAGGGCTTGGCCGGGGCCTCCGCGCCCCCGCGCCCGCCGCCCTCGCCACCTCGCCGGCGCCCTCCCGCCCGCAGACTGCGCCGCGCCTGAGAGCCGGGAGCCCGCCCGCCCTCCCGGAGAGTCTGCCGCTGACCTGCATTGACGTCATTGCGTCATTAGGTTTCCCCTGGAAACACTGGCTCGCCCGAAATAGTAACACATTAATTCAGGCCGGGGGAGCAGGGAGAGACTGTTTGTAACCCTGCAGCTAACTCGGCTCGCGCGAGCGGGCGCGCGGCGGCCCCCACCCCTCGCGAGGGCAGCGCCGGCCGCGCTCGCCTACTATTTTGAGAACAAAGAAAGGCAAAATATAGAACCCTGGCGAGAGGGTGCGGGGGACGCCGAGACCCTCTCGCCTGGCTCGCCCGCACACCTGAAGACACACGCACGTATGCACAACACCTGGGACTGCCTGCGCTCGGGCGGGCGCTCCCCGCGCCCGGGCTCTTTCACGGACCTGCTGGGGTGTGTGCCCAGATCCCCTGCGCGCAAAGACCGGTCTGAATCGGGGCTCCCTCTCACCACCCCCGAGCCAGCACACCACCCTCCCTTCCACCCACTGGTGCGGGCGCAAGCGGGCGCTCCTCTCCCAGACTCAAGGGGCACCCTGTCTTTCTTCCTCGGCCGCGCACCCCGCGCATGGGGGAACCCCGCGGGGATCCAGCCGGCCACCCGCGGTCACTGCCAGCCCTCCTCGGCGGCGGAGGGCCAGGCTATCCTGCGGCGCCCCCGCGCCTCATGGGGGAGGAGGACTGATGTGGGACAGGAAAACTGGAGGACAGGATTGCTGTCGCAGGCTTCAGAATTTGGGCCGGGGAGCGACCGACTTTTCTTCTGTTGGCTCTCTGGGGCCTTCGGCCTGGCCCACAGGCGGGGGGATGGGGCAGGCGGAGCGGGCCGGCCGAGGGGGAGCCCTGGGCTTCAGAGGCTCTTTCCTAGCTGTCCATCCTCCCCTGACTGCACCCTCGACTCAGTCTCCCTGGGAGAGTGAGGAGAATGCTCCTCTGGATCAAAATGGCACGCGCTTAGCCTCGGCCGGCAGTCCGTGGAGGCGGGAGGCGGCGCAGAGCCGCGGAACCGCGGAACCCGAGCCGCGAAGGTGGCGGCGCCCGCGGGGCAGAGCAGGCCAGGCGGGCTCTCTCGCTGGCCCCTGCGGGTGTGGGGAGCAGGGAAAGGCACTGGAGGGACGTCGCGCTCCCCTGCCTCTCATAGGCCTCTCGGGAACCGGTGAAGGACGCAGAGAGGTTTCTGCTATTTCATTCCACCTTAGGCTGGTCTCACCATTCAGTGTTCTCTCTGGCCAGGGAGAGGGGTGTGCCTGGGACTTAGGGATACGTCCCCAAGGTCTGTCTGTGCGCACAGACAGCCCACTTGCAGTGCCTTGTCTCACATAGCTCCAGGAGAGATGGCCCCTGACGGTGGCCTTTGTTCCTTGTTGACCACAGAGATGATGAACAGGCTGAACTTTTTGGACAAATAAACTCGGCTGTTCCCTCAGGCAGTAGCCAGACCAAAGAACAAGTTTTGGAGAGGACAGGCTGGCCTTGTCCCCGGTGGGAGCTGTGTGTGCTCCTCCCTCTGCATGTGCTGTTCTCTTGCTGGGCTGCAGTGGCCTCCTCTGTAAAACTGGGCGCGAAGCCTGTTCCACCGGCTGCCCTGAAAGCGACAAGAGATGGTACCTAGAATGTGCTGGAGAAATGATCTGCCCTATTCTTGCCTCTGCCCTGTGGGTGGCTCTGTCAGAAATGAGTGAACCCACACTCCCCAGTATATAAGTCACATTCCCTGCTGACTTATTTGGGGAAAGCTGATCAAGGGACATTTAGGGAACAATGACATTAAGGGCCTGGCCCTCCTGTGCTCCTTCCCTGCACATCATTGGACTCTGACGAAATCCCCAAAGCAAGCTCTCTGCTGCCTACAGATTCAAGTCTGACCAAGTGGCAGGTGGAGGGGGTGTCATGATATGGCGCTGCCTCCCTCATTCTGGGCTTGTTTCCCAGTGGGACATCCACCAAGGCTGCCCTCCCTCATGCTGGCTCCTGTCCCTGAGCTGCAGCCATCCTCTACCGGTTGGCTCCCCATCTGGACCATGGCAGGGGCCACATGATACTTGCCTCTGTTCCCCCAGCTCCCCCTGGCACCGTGCCTGGCACAACTGATGTTGTTGTTTGTGAAAAAGATTGATAGTCCCTCTTTCGGGAGACTACTACCCTAGTCCCCTGCTCCCATCTGCTTCTCCATGTCAAAGTCCACATGGCCCCTGGTCAAATGCCGACTCCTCCATGCAGGTCTTTCCGGTCTCCAGGGGTATGAGCTCACCTGCCATTAGTCCTGAGACCACTTGGGAGGGCTCTCAAGACTTCGATCATATTCTGTCCTGAATTGCCTTTCTCTTACTGTAAGCTGCACGTCTTCCTCCTGCTGGGCTGCAATTCCTTGGCGTCAGAAGTGAGTCCTACCCATCTCTATGTGCTCCATCCACGTGGCTCAGCTGTGGCAGCCAAGTACACAGCAGGTGCCCAGGAAAATTGGCCAAGCTGAACTCTGCAGGTCTGCTTGGTGCTTCTCAGCCGAGGGCCTGGTCTGAGCTAGATGGGGCCATCGCTGCAGACCTGGGCTAAGAGAGACCTGGCCACGTTGGCAGAAGATGCCCGAGTCCACTCAGCCCAAGGCCCTAGGAGAGCCACGTTTCTACTTTTCTTCTGTCCTGTAGGAAAGTGCAGTGTGTGTGGCAACCTGGGAGGACAAGGGGGGAGATAAGGGGGGAGGAAGAAACACTCCAGGGTCACAGCCACAATCTGCCCAGTGAGTCATTTGGCAGGAAAGCCAGTGTCTTATAATCACAGGTCAGACCCCTGTGTCATCCCAGCCCACAGTGGCGTCTTGTTACTCAATGAACACAATGAACTAGAGACTCAGAGTGAGCGAGGGCCCCAGCCAGCCCCACCCACGCACACGCAGGCCTGGGACCAGTTCCCTGTGGCCCAGTCCTATCCTGCTTCCCCAGACTGTCTGCACATCGATGTCAGCCTGCGTCCCCAGGTACTTGAGGGTCCCCTGATATAACCCTCACTATCCTCCAAGGTGGGGAGTGGGGGGTTCTCTGTGTGGGCAGGCCCAGCTGTGCCCTGCTGCAGCCTACTGGTGTCTCTTCTGCCATCAAGGAGGCCTTTGGGAAGGGGCCTCAGGCTGCTTTGGTGACCTGGTCTATTGTGAGGAGACACGGGCAGTACAGGGGCCGGGAGTCTGGATGTGTTCAGATATGGTCATTGAGATGTACAGGGAACACTCAGAAGGCTGCTTGGGATCCAGGGGGCTCCATTGACTCCTGGGTTCTCTGCAGCTCCGAGGCAGCAGGGGCTGCCCGATCCCAGGCTGGAGTGCTGTGTCGAAGGGTGCTTGTACTCATTTGTCCCTGCTTCCTTCTGGCTTTCTCTCCACATCTCCAGCTCAAATTACTGTGAAGGGGACATTCTAAATGACTCAGGTAAGTACTGGAGTCCCTCATTAGCCAGAGCCTCTGTCCCAGGCCACCTCTAGGCTCTTGGGATATCCATATATCACAGCCCTTGGGTCAGGCATCCCCCACTGGTCCAGGCCACTGGGCTGGAGCAGGACTGGGAGACAGGAGAGGGCTGTTGCCTGAACTGAAGTGGCCAGGGCTCGCCCTCAGCAGAGCTGCAGGAAGGGAAAGGCTCTTTTGATGTGTTGAGCACCCTGGCTGGCCTGCCCAATGCAATTACGCTCTGGAATCCATCTTAAACTCCCCCTCTACTCCAGCCTGGTGAGATCAGGGTGCTGTGATCGCATGAGCAGCCAGTTTCATTGCTGAGCTGATCTTACACCAGTCTTGCCATGGTGTAAGGCAGGGGCGACCTTACTGCAGGGTGTTGATGGCCGTGGGAACAGAAGGGCCCTCATGTAGTGAGGAGCCCACCAGACTGTCACCCCAGAGGCTGCTCTGTGCCCCGCATCAGCCACTACGTAGCATGCAATATGAGGCTCAGCCGGAGAAGACCAGGACTGCTGCTGAACGCAGGTAGGCAGCCAGAGGGGAGCCCCCAGTGCCCCACCAGAGGCCTGTTCTGAGCCCCACAAAGGCAAAGTGATTAACTTGGGCAACAGAGTCAAGAAGAAAGAGGCTGGTCTAGGAATTAGGAGAACTGGCTTTTAATCCCAGCACTGTCATTAAGTCAGGGTATAACCCAAGATAAGCGACCATCCCTTCCTGGGACTCTTTTCACCACCTGCTTCATATACTGGTGGAATGGGATGACCAAGCAGTTACCAGCATGGATTGGAGACCCTCAACTTCAGTGGAAATTGGCCCAACAGGCACCCAAGCTCCTTGAGCCCAGGGGCACAGGTGGACAGGGGGCAGAGTGGGCTGCTCTCATGGGATTGGGCTCTGGCTAGCTGGGTGTCTGGTGGCCAGAGACCCTCTACTTCTCAACAGGCGCTCCATCTGACACCTTCTTTGCTCCTCTTGCCTGTCAGCAATGGTGCTGCAGCCCCTTAAGGTCTCCCCAATGATACAATGAATGATACAGTTTCTTGACAACCTCAATTGGCCCAGTGCCACTTATGCCCATATTATTCCCCTCTCAGTTGCTGTTCCTCAGACCCAAATTCTATCCCAGGCCCTGCCCAGGCTTTGCTCTCAGCATTTCCCAGCCCACAGAGCCAACTTGTCCCCTAAGGCACCATCGCCCCCATCATTATCTAGGTCTGTATCTGAGTGGCCAGGAGGACCCTCACCACTCTCCTCTCCTCCACCACACCGGTGCCTGTGCCCCCCAACCACAGTCTGTTTTCTCAAATTCTCCCCACTTTCCAATCCCTAGGAGGGGGGCACTGAGCCTAGGACACCAGTTGGCAGGACCATGAGTCCAAGTCTTCCTTTCAGTAGAGCCACAAGTGTTGCTCTTTGGGGCAGGGAGGGAGGCAGCTGAGCGGCAAATGACTGAACGTAG